GAGGTTAGGTAACTTGCCCAAGGTCACATAGCTACTAAGTGGCTAAGTCCAGGATTAGAACAAGGTGGCAGATTGGCACCATGTCTGTGCTCTGAACCATCTCCTTTGTGAGGGTCAAAGGTCTGTGTAATACTAATAGCACTCAGAGAGAACCTCATAGCCCACACAGCAACTGCTACCCCATCTTCCCCTAGCACATCTGCCCCAAATAAGTTCACATAGGGACTGAGTTCTCCTCTGCCCCGCAGGCCGTGTAATCTGAGTCAGGGACAACCACTGGCCCAGGCTAGATCAAGTGGGTTTTATAAAAATTTTTATTTGTAAAATATTTCATATATACAAAAAGATATAAGGCATAACATAACAAAAGCTCAGTACCCAGCAGCAGCTTTAAAAATAGAGTGTTTCGAGACAGCCCTGATGGCCTAGCACTTACAGTTCTGTGCGCTCCGGTTTGGAAGCCTGGGTTTGTTCCTGTGTGCAGAGCCACCCCAATCATCTGTCAGTAGTCAGGCTGTAGTGGTGGCTCACACAGAAGAACTTACACCTATACACAACTATGTACTGGGGCTTTGGGGGCGGAGTGGGGGCAGAAAAAAAGGAAGAAGATTGGCAACAGATGGTAGCTTAGGGCAAATCTTCCCCTGCAAAAAAAAAACAAAAAGAAAAATAGATTGCTTCTAGTAGTGGCGCATCAGTGATGCATTTCAATCCTCCCAGTTCACTGGCATGTTTTCCGCCATTGTATTAAGACATGGGGGATGCCAACTGGGCTATGAACGCAGTGCGACTTTTATAGCAATCCTTCCCCTTCCTAATAAACAGTCCTCCCCTAATTACAGTCAATTGTATCCTGCTGGAGACATCTGCAGTCTGGGTAACAAAGCAGTCGCTTTAGAGTGGAGTTGAGAAAGCTTCTCGATTATTCGTTATGGTCTAAGAAGGTAGTGGCTCCCAACCAAGTCTGTGAACTCCTGGGCTCTGAAGAGTTACTGAAGGAATGGGAAACCCCCCGTGCTCAGCTAGCCATATTTATAGACCAGAGTCATTAACCTGTGGTCCACTGACTCCTTAGCAAATCCATGAAAGCAAATCCTGGAGTCACATGCAAAGTTTTGTCTTTTTCCTCTAGGGAGAGTGTCCATTCCATACCTTTTATCAGATTCTCAAAGAGGTCTGAGACCTTCCAAAAAGGTTAAAAATCATTCCCATACATCAGGGGTTGGCAAATGGCCCAAGCCAAATCCAGTCCAATGCTTGCTTTTGTACAACCCATAAGCTAAGAATGGTTTTTATATTTTTAAATAGTTGAAAAGAGTAATACATCTTGTCGTTGTACCTCTATTTTTCATTTATATGTAGATGCTGTTATAATTGATAGAGTACAAATTCAGTCATTGGAACCATCATATTAGTCATCGGAACGCTTTTACTTGGCTTCCTCCGTGTAAGTCTTGCTGGGAGAGTCGGCTTCCCCATACAGAAGGCCAGATTCTCCTTTCTCCCGCCTCCCTGGCAGCCAGGGCATAGAGATGTGACTCCATTAGAGATCCCATCTAGGACTCGGAAGCTGGAGTGAGTCACACAAGACAGCAGGGAGAGAGGAGAGATCATTCTGGCAGTAGCGGAGACGACAGCAGTTACATCTAACTTCCAAGAGCAGCAGGGCCAGCAGGATGGGGTACCTGCAGCCATGACTCATTTCTGGTTGCACATCAGTGGTCTCTTCAGCAGACAGTCCCTAAGGAATGGTTTAGTCTTTGATCCTGGCTGTCTAGCCTCCATACCTACCTGGGACAAGCTCAGGCACTAGATGAGACTGAGTCTGCATCATTCACTGCCTGCAGCAGAGAGGGGCTGAAGGACAAACAGTGGCTGATCCATCTTTGTATCCTCAGCACCTAAGATAGTGCCTGATACTTAACAAGTGCTCACTAAATATCCATGGATGAGAGCACCAATAAGCGCATCAGTCAGGGAGAGCATACACTAGGGATCTCTGACTTCAATAGACTCCAGCCTCCTGAAACCGGCAATGAGAGCTTCATGTATCAGGATCTCATGAGAAGGGAATGTAAAGACAGCTCTGCTCTTCAAGCCCTATGTATGACTTCCTGGGTTTCCCAGACCATCAAAGCTCCAGTGATGAGAAATGGTCAGAACTTGGGGATGAGTGTGAAATTGACCCCGGGTTGTGACCCAGAGCCCCCTCAGATGATGCTTATCTTTTAGAAGCAGACAGCTGGTCAAAAGGCATGTATGTACGCACTAGGTGGGACACTATGGAACAGGGTGTACAGGTATACTTAGCTCTCACCTTGGCCCTGGATAGCAGACTGCCATGAAGCAAGAAACTTAGTGTTCGTGCTAACGACCTTTACCGGTGGATTAGTAATTTAGAAAGAAGTGATTACACTGATGACTAAACATCAGCAACATTGTATCACTTCTGGATCTATTCATGTATGCTGTGTGAGATATTTTTAAAGATCTAGAAGAAAGAGAGGGGCCAATGAGAACTTTCATGGCAAAAGATCAGGAATCGATAGTGACATTTCCACAAAGCTAGTGCTCCAATGCCACAATGTCTGTGGTTTCCCTGACAGCAGCATTTTTAATAATCTCAAGAGAGAGGGAGAACATGGGGATAAAGCTCTGCTGAGACATTCCCACCAGTGCAGAGCCTTAGCAGAGTCCAAGATGGTTTAACAGGATTCTATAACCAGTATGTTGTATGAGATTGGTTTTATTTTTATCCCCCATTATCCTTTGAAACTCTGTTGAGAAGGCATGATCTTTCTCTGCCCCTAGGTGAAGAGTTGGGCAGACACATGATTTGTGTCAGATTAAGTCGTCCTGTCACTTTTTTTTTTTTTTTTTTTGGTGAGGAAGATCAGCCCTGAGCTAACATCCATGCTAATCCTCCTCTTTTCACTGAGGAAGACCGGCTCTGAGCTAACATCTATTGCCAATCCTCCTCCTTTCTTTTCCCCAAAGCCTCAGTGGATGGTTGTATGTCATAGTTGCACATCCTTCTAGTTTCTGTACGTGGGATGCGGCCTCAGCATGGCCAGAGAAGTGGTGCGTCGGTGCGCGCCGGGATCCGAACCCCGGCCGCCAGTAGCAGAGCGCATGCACTTAACCACCAAGCCACAGGGCCTGCCCCGTCCTGTCACTTTTAATCATACAATCTCACTGCCTTAAGGTATCTAGTCACATCTAATAGTCAAAACTACAAACTTGGCATTAATTCTTTTGCTAATTTGAGCTTGCTTCAGGTTTGAAACCTATAGCAAAGCAATGAGACGGAGTCCTTTGCTCTCTCCTCTTTCCTCCCCTTCACCTCTCCCACTTGATAGTTATTCTACCACTGCCTTGGAAGCTGAGGGAGGGAGGAGCTCTGGAGATCGGACAGTTCTGACTTAACTGGTTGGCTTTGGGCTCTCTGCCTGGTGATTAGAGCTGGCTTTCTCTTGGTTGGCACTTGATGGCATGAGCTTACCAGAGGTTCCTGCTGCATCCTTTGACTCTGGCAGATGCATCTCCACCCTGGCTGCTCACTTGCTGTCCTCAGTCCCTGGGCACCAGGCAGTCCATGTCCAGACCCTTCCTATGGAGGTCTCCTTGGCTCTGCTGATGGTGTGTCAGACAATGTCAAATATGACCCCACAGCATGGTCCATGAAACATTCGTGCAACCCTTGCCACAGGACTGTCATCAAAATAGTTAGCCTTGCCTTTCTCTCGCCCTCTAGATTTCCTAGGGAGTCAGATACCAGCCTTCAGCCCACTTCTGCTTTCTTTCTCTCAGGCCTGAGTCAGGCACCAGTTTCCTGGGTCTCCCAACTGCATAGAACACATTTCCAAACTCTCTGAGTTGTCCCGTTGAAATTCCACTCAGCAGATAGTGGTAGAAGGTGTCACTTCCCTACCCTTCTGCCAAAATGGGGGTTGGAACTCAGTACAGCAACAGCTTTATCCAAAGAAATCTCTTCATCAATCTTCTTACCAAATCTTCTGTTCTCTCAAAACTTGTATTCTCGAAGTAGATAAAGGGGTTCAAGAGCCATGGAACAAGTTCTTCTGTTTTCCCCTTAGTATCCTTAATTAGAGGCAGAAGAGTTCCATTCTGATAACTTGTATATTGGTTACTTATTGCTGCATAACAAATTACCCCAAAAGCTAGTGGTGCAAACAATAAACATTTATTATTGCTCACAGCTTTTCTGGGTCAGGAATTCAGGAGCGGCTTAGCTAGGCAGTTCTGGCTCAGGGTCTCAAGAAGTTCCAATCAAGCTATCAGCCTGACTGAGGCTAGAAGATCATTTCCAATGTGGTTCACTCACATGGTTTGCAAGTTGGTGCTGGTTGTTGGTGGAAGGCCTCAATTCCTCTCCAAGTGGAATTCTCCACAGGACTGCTCAAGTGTTCTCAAGACATGGCAGCTGGATTCCCACAGAATGAGCAATCCAAGAGATCAAGGTGAAAGCAGCAACACCTCTCATGATCTAGCCTCAGAAGTCACACACTGTCACCTCTGATTCTTTATTAGTCACACCAACCAGCTCTGATTCAATATGGAAGGAAACTAAACAAGGGCATGAATATCAGGAATCAAGGATCACTGGGTATCCATCTTGGAGGCTGCCTACCACACCCTCTTACATTTCAAATGATCATCATTGCCTAAAACAAACTGAATCAAGTACAAATAAAGAAGAGACTATAAATTTAGATTGGTTTAATCAAAACTTCTTTGAGGTCTTGATCTTCAAAATTACATATGTCATCTGGCCCTCTCCACATTTGTTCCTCATCTATAAATGGGTCCAGCACTCTCCTGAAGGAAGGCAGGGCCTAGGCCTAATCTTAAGTGTTCTTTTTGGTTCTCAGATCTCTGATTCTACATAATAACCAGAAAAAAAAGCTTTGGAAATATCTTTTAGAGTCGACATTTACACTGAAATTTACAATTCAATAAAAATATTCTAAGGTGCCTCATTACAAGAACCATCTCTGTTTTATTTTATATAACAATGATTTAAATTGAATACATTTGGACACAGTAAATATTTGACATGAAAAGTAGTTGTATCAGAATGGGCATCAGAAAAATAGCAACTCATCTTACACATAATAACTAGAAAATATTTTTCTGTCTGATCATTTAAGTGTTATAAATCCTGAGGATGTTATATACTGAAAAAATTAGGTACTACTTTATAACTATTTCTTGGAAATTTAAAAAAATGCTTTGAGGTACAAATCACCTATGTATTAAACATGAGTCTTTTACATTTTACAAAGAGTTTAAACAAATATATCAAACAATTACAGTTCAGTGGCTCTTAAAATAGCTATTAGTCAGGTTCAAGGACACACTGTTCCACAATTTCCCGCAAGTTAGGGTTCTCCATTGCAGCTGCCACTCGCTCTTTGTCATTTATTTGCTTGTTGACTGCAAAATACACAGACAAAAGTTAGCAGAACTGTGTCAATATATAGCAACAGACAGTATTTTTATCAGCCTGTCAAAACATGACAGGCTGTGAACTTAAAGCTGGCTTTGGCTAATTATTCATAAGTTCTGGAAAGGAGACAGAGAAAAATATCCCCTATAATCCTACTACTCTACCACAAATATTTTCATTTCTTTCTTTCCAGTCTTTGTCCATATACATATTTCGATATAGTTACATTCAGAGTAAATACAATTTTGAAAATTGCTGTTTTTCCCCTTAAGCCAATTTTTTAAACTAGGGTTATTTAACACAGCAAAAATTATAAGTGTTCTAAATTAATTATGAAGACTATGCTACAATGAGCACCTTTAAACATATAGCTTTCTTTTTGGAAAGATTCTTAAAAGCGGGATTATTAGGGGCCGGCCCCGTGGCTTAGCGGTTAAGTGTGCACGCTCCCCTACTGGCGGCCCGGGTTCGGAGCCCAGGGGCGCACCGACGCACTGCTTATCCAGCCATGCTGAGGCCGTGTCCCACATACAGCAACTAGAAGGATGTGCAACTATGACATACAACTATCTACTGGGGCTTTGGGGGAAACAAAAAGGAAGATTGGCAATAGATGTTAGCTCAGGGCTGGTCTTCCTCAGCAAAAAGAGGAGGATTAGCATGGATGTTAGCTCAGGGCTGATCTTCCTCACAAAAAAAAAAAAGCGGGATTATTAGATCAAGAGGTATGAGTATTTTTATGGTCTGATCCATATTATTGAATTACTTCCCTATATTCTTTTTTTTTTTTGTGAGGAAGATCAGCCCTGAGCTAACATCCATGCCAAGCCCCCTCTTTTTGCTGAGGAAGACCGGCCCTGAGCTAACATCTATTGCCAATCTTCCTCCTTTTTTTTTCCCTTTTTCTCCCCAAAGCCCCAGTAGATGGTTGTATGTCATAGCTGCACATCCTTCTAGTTGCTGTATGTGGGACGCCACCTCAGCATGGCCGGACAAGCAGTGCATCAGTGTGCGCCCAGGATCCGAACCTGGGCCACCAGTAGCGGAGCGTGCGCACTTAACCACTAAGCCACAGGGCCGACCCACTTCCCTTTATTCTTTACCAATTTATACTGTCAACAGCAATACATGAGCTATCAGTTTGCCAGAAATATCAGGTATTATTAATAAAAACAAATACACATACATACACATAAAACAGGCAGTGAAAAATGGCTCCATATTATTGTTGTAATTTGCAATTCCTTGATTAATAGTGAGACAGAACATTTTCCCATGTTTATCTATTTGTTCTTGTGTGAATTTTCTGTTCATGTCTCTTTATATTAATCTACTAGGTCTTTTTTTTTAATCAGATTGCATGAATCTTCATATAATAAAGGTATTGGCCCATATTTGTTGTCTATAATTTGCTAAAAGCACTCTTGATAAAAGAGAGATGTCCATATTCTTAACGTGGGCTAACTTTTCTGGGATCCGCTAAAATGTCTCATGTAGAAAACATATACATACTCCTACATAAACGATTTCAGTTCATCCTGTTTCTTCCTACTACAATGTAGGCTCCACAAGGACAAGGACGTATCTCAAAGGTTGAATTGCGCCTACACACACAAGGCACTCAATAAATACCGACTAAGTGAAAAACCCAAAATCTTCAGGTTGAAGACTATTGCTGTTATAAAATCCCATATTTAAGGGGAGTTTCAAAAGCATAACCTAAGTGGATTTAGGGTATCTAAACTCTTTTATTCTTTAAATAAAGAGGTAGAAGCCCTCAGCTTATGGAATCTGAATAAATTTAACCCGTGAGTAAAATAATCTACATGTCTCGAATCGTGAAAATAGGACATGGTTTTAGTAGCTTTCATGACTGTATCTAAAGTTTCCTGGATAGGCTGTTCCTCTGAACGCAGTGGGCTTCCTTCTCTGCGTCTCTCTTCTGAGTCTGTGTTTTGTGCATCTCTCCCTGTGTGTGTCCTGAGTCACTGCCTTCCTCTTATTGTTGCTCTGACTCTATTACTGTCCTTTCCTTCCCCTCTTCTGCTTTCTTTTTCCAACTTCTCCGTTTACCTAGAGATGAAAGCTAAGCACAACGTGCATTTTAAATGCATTTCTCATTATTTGCACTCTATCATTTGTAGATAAAATCCTGTTTTTAATGTAACACATAGATTATGCAGAACATTTTGTCTTTTGCTTTTCCCAAACCCCACCTCTGTTATTTTTAAGTGGCTACTGATTTATTTCTTTCTGTAGGCCAGAAGTCTTCTATATAAAGGTTCCCCACTCCCGTTTTAATACATTAACCTAGAAAGACAGCACCTACTCCAAGATTCCATAAAGCTTTACTTGCTAGACCCTCAATTTCAATTTCAAGTACATAGCTCTCTATCCTGCCAACAAAGAAAAGAATCGAGTCCTCTTTAGAGCTCCTAAGTCAAGGTTCCTAGAGTTGGACATTCTTTATAAATGTGCACCCACTGACCTAAAACCAGTCACCATCCACAGGGCCTAACTCTAGTTCACCCAGAATCCCACTGAAAAAGTTACTTCCTTGAAATACCTAGGTTTCCCTACCTCAAGGAAGAGCTAATAACTGATTTTGCACTTTTTTGCAAATGACCCAGTAGATACTTGGCTGGCAGAATAACCTGGTATCCAAGATAAAGTACTATGTGAGGTTGTTTTTAATAATGGTTCAAGATTTACTTACTGTCTTCCTCTGTTGAGTGGGTTCCTTCAGAAATGTAGATCTCCAACTAGGAAGAAAAAATATTAAAAGCCAAACATTTAGAGCATTCTAAGATGATGAGTGAGGTAGAATGCACAATGGACTCAAGAGTCTGGGAGTGAAAGCCCAAACCCTGTTTCCAACATCAAAGACTTAGGGACAAATCCCTCACATTTTTCTGTAAGACAAGGGCTGAAATTAGTAGGATTTTTAATTTTGGTCAGCTGGGGAAGGCCTGCAGGGGGTATTTCCATTTATTATTTTTTTATGAATACAAAAAAATACAATTTTACATAAATGAGATCTCATACATGTTTTACTCATAGATATCTCTCCTCTGCACTCTACCCCTTCCTTCCAAATCAGTATCTAAACTTCCTCTCTGACCCTCCTCGCCACCAAGAAAGCCACATTAATAATCTAATGTAGTTTCTACCCACATACTCTAACACAGATTTCACACACAAACGCACACACAGACACCCCAAGGCTGGAAGTTTCTTTTTATTGCTTATTTTATAAAAACAGATCATACTACACAGTTTTCAGTATCCTCCTTTTCTCATCCACTATTATCTTGATAAATTTATGTTCAAGGGCAATATTGGTTATCCTGGCCCTGCTACACTCACTTCCTCAAATTAGCTAATCTCCAAGAATCAGAGCGTTTGAGATAAATGCACAAAATTATTACAAATCCTGTAGTAAGTAAATCATGCTATATGATAAAGGCATCTCTATGCTCCAGAGAACACTGGAGCATATGAACTAATTCTTATATACTTACTTACTACTGACATAAACCTTTTTATCCGAAAAAAATCGTAGCCTATTATGAAAAAAATCATACCTCTGAAAGAAATCATAGCCTATTATGGCTAAAAGAGACCTTAGAGATCATCTAGTCCAGTCCAATCTTTTTTTGTTTGTTCATTTTTGTGAGGAAGATTAGCCGTGAGCTAACATCCGTTGCCAATCCTTCTCTTTTTGCTGAGGAAGATTGGCCCTGGGCTAACAACCGTGCCCATCTTCCTCTACTTTATATGGGACACTGCCACAGCATGGCTTGACAAGCGGTGTGTCCTGCGTGCCCGGGATCCAAAGCTGCCAACCCTGGGCCACTGAAGTGGAGCGTGCACACTTAACCGCTGCGCCACCGGGCCAGCCCCAGTCTAATCTTTTTTTAAAAGACAAAACACCATGTAAATTCCCCTAGTGGCATAACACTGACTCTTATTCAAGACAACAAAGTAACAGGTATAAAATCACCCTTTACTCATTTATTTTGGTTTAAAATTATGCATGACTCATTATTCTGAAAAATGATCAATAAGGGGAAGAGTCAAGCATTTACCCTGCTGTTCCTATACGAACTATACCTCAGGGCAGCCAAACAGTTGGTTTGGTCCCTTGCAGGCATAGAAGATTCTAAATTTGAGAAGTTTCTTGTGGCCCTTTTTAAGTGGCTCTTACTTGGTTTTAAATTTTTACACATGAAAAAATGCTCAACATCATTAGCCATCAGGGAAATGCAAATCAAAACTAGGACAAGGTATCACTTCAAATCCACTAGGATGGCTATAATGAAAAAGACAGATAATAATAGTAAGTGTCGGCAAGGATGTGGAGAAATCAGAACCCTCATACCCTGCTGGTGGGAATGTAAAATGGTGTAGTGGCTGTGGAGAACAGTCTGGCAGTTCCTCAGAAGGTTAAATATAGAGTTACCATATGATCCAGCAACTCCACTTCTAGGTGGCAGAGAAATGAAAACATGCCCACACAAAAACTTGTACACAAATGTTCATAGCAGCATTATTCATAATAGACAAAAAAAGGGAAACAACCCAAATGTCCATCAACTGATAAATGGATAAATAAAATGTGGTATACCCACACAATGGAATAGTATAAGGTAATAAAAAGGAATGAACTACTGATACATGTTATAACATAGATGAATTCTGAAAATATTATTCTAAGTGAAAGGAGCCAATCTTAAAAGACCATGAATTGTATGATTCCATTTAAATGAAATGTCCAGAATAGGCAAATGTACAGAGACAAAATGTAGATTAGTAGTTGCCTAGGGATGGGGGAGGGTTTGGGAGAAATGGAGAGTGACCGATAATTGGTATGGGGTTTCTTGTTAGAATGATGAAATGTTCCAAATTGATAGTAGAGATGGTTGCACAATGCTGTGAATATCCTAAAAACCATTAAATTGCACACTTTAAATAGGTGAATTGTAAGATATGTGAATTAAATCTCAATAAAGCTGTTATAAAACAACAACAAAAAACATCTTCCTTACCTTATGTTTAAATGGTAAACACCGCTGAAGTTTTACTCTTAAGCACAGCCCTGTGGAGGGAAAAAAAAGAAGCCCTGATTCTCTCTTCTTATTGGTTCTTGAAAAAGCATACAGCTGTGTCTAGGTGTCTCCATACAAACAACTAAAAACAGCTTTGGCTAAATCCACTGTAGGTCTCCTTTGAGCCTGGCACCATGCTGGCAACTTTAATATACAGATACAGTCTTACATATTCCTCATGATAATCCAGTGAGCTAGGTATTACCAACCCTATTGTACAAACTATGAAACCAAGGTCACAGTTAGTAAAGTGGCCAAGTTGGAACTGGAACCCAAGACCACTGCAAAGCCCAGGTCCTTTCTACTACATCAATTTGCCTTCAAGCAAATGTCAATTCACTCATTAAACTTTATTGAATGCCCACAACAGGCCAGGCCATGCAAAAATTTAAAACCAAGAGCCACTTAAAAAGGACAAGGAAACTCTCAAATACGGAATCCTCTATGCCTACAAGGTCCACATAGAGTTGTTTCCCTAAAACAAGCTCCTCTGAAGTTCAGTTTATCACCCCAATGCTAAGTCACAGTTCAATACTTTGTTTTCCAGTTAAGACTTGTAAGAGAAATTAACTCTGGGCTTGGAACAGACCCTCAGTGCCAATATTCCACTTCCCCCCCACCTCAAAATAAGGAATGCATTTTTAACTAAATCTACCCCCTTAGACATGGAAGATAAATCTACTGCTTTTATTACGAAGACAAAGTATTCCAGTAATAAGTTTTGGAAAAATAGAGTCAGAATGAATCTCTAGTCCCCTGGCTTTGCAGGCTTTTATTTCAAGCAATTTATTTCCTCTCCCAACTAATACATAAGCTGTAAGGAACATTTTCTTAGTATTTTGGTTTGATTAAAAATAAACAACAATAACAAAACCCCAAACCATCCCAACACAGCAAAATATAATTGTTAGACTCCCTGTCCTTTGAGGAGGTATGAAATAATTTGCTTTTGGGCTTCTAAGTACCACTAGGTTTTCTAACAGAATCGTTTGAAAAATCCCAGAATAGGAAAAACGATTAGATGAGCTACAATGAGACTGGGCCTAGTGTCAAGTCTAGAATGCAGTAATTCCATAATAAATATTAGGGAACACTAAAGAAAATATATAATTTCCTTCAAAGGATCTGCTTTAAAGCCTATCCAGAGAGTTATTCTCTTCCCTCTGCCCCAACACTGTCTCCTTAAATTTGTCTCGTTTACCATCTGAGCATCCTCATGTGTTCTAGTTACCGTCAATAGGCGTCTTACCCATAAAGTAAATAATCACTGTTTTACAATTCACAAAGCACTTTCTTGAGCATTAATATCCTCAAGAGAGGCAGGATAGCAAAACTGTGATAGATGCTTCGGGTTCAAAAGTAGCTCCCTACATACTGTGTGACCCCGGGCAAGTTACTTAATCTCTCTGAGCTTCAGTTTCCTTATCTGTAAAACAAATATAATAGTACCACTACATATAATGTTGTTATGAGGAGTAAATAAATTGTTACGCAATGTGCTTAAAACAGTACTTGACATATAATAAGTATCCAATAAACATTAGCTATTACTATTTTACCATTTTCATTTTACATCCAGGAACCAAGATAAGTGATTTGTTCAGCTTCACATGGCTAACAAGTGGCAGAGCTAGAAGCTGAATCTAGAGCTTCTGACTCCAAGCCTATGCCCTTCACATTGGACCACGCCTGCCTTCAGCCATTCTTGTCTGCACTAAGTCAACACAAATGATTATGTGATACTATGATACACTACTATACTACCCTCTAAGGGTCTTAACTGAAACCCATATCAAAAGGGCCCAAAAAAGTGACAAAACATTGTTCAACAAGTGTATGGATCTATAATCTAATCCTGGCAACTTTACACATAGTGATTTTTATTTCATGTACTCTGTCAATCTTTGTCCACATAATCACAGTTTTTCAATAACTGCGATCATAATGCAAATTCAACTTACCATTCAAGCTTTTTCATACATTTCTCACACAGATACTTTGATTCCTTGATTATATTCATCATTTTCAATAGAAATACGAAATCCTATTATATTGGTGCCATTTCCTTATTAATAGATACTACAGTTTCTTCCAGGTTTCATTATTATCAATTTAGCCATAAATGTTTTGCATATGCTACTATTTTCTTCTATGAAATTATTTCCTTAATTCCTGGGTCATCTAGTATAAACTTTTTAATAAAGATTTGCTAATATGTATCCAGAGGCTTAAAAATATTTACACCACATGACCCAATAATTCCACTTACAGGAATTTATTGTGAGACAACAACTAGAGATAAATAAAAATATTTATGTATAAAGTTGTTCATCACAGTATTATTTATAATTGTGAAAGGCTAGAAGTAGTCTAAATGATTATGAAAATTATATCAATGTGATTAGCATGTAACCTATGTGACTATATAATTAAAGAATAATATTTAAAGAGGAATAAAAAAATCCTCATCTATTTCATGCTGTTACTTAACCCTTACAACTCTGTAGTACCCTTATCATTCCTATTTTACAGATAAGAAAACAGAGGCTCAGAAAGGTTAAGTAACTTGCCCAAGGCCACAAAGTGGCAGAGCTGACAGAGCTGGAATTTTAGCCCAGCGCACACATTCTTTTATGACAACTGATTTTTATTTTCTTCTTTATGCTTTTGTGGAGTTTCAAAATTACTGCCAACATGTTACTTATATAATTTTAAAAACACAAAATAAATGTTACTTTTTGAAAAATCAATTTGCTATAGGCTCTTAGGGTAGGGTAATGAACCCTCTATTTAAGGATTCTTATATATTAAACTATTTTAAGACACTTCTTTCACATCAGGATAGTAGCAGTACTTTCGATATCTGTTGATTCATAAATTGTCCGATGATAAAAAATAAGTATTCATTCAACAATGCTTTTTCTAGCATTGGAATTTTAATAACGACACAGTATCTATGGATTCACAGACTCTCTAGTCCCTCAAGATGTGGCCCATATGCTGGAAACTACTAATAGAGGGATCCCAGTCAACAAGTAAGAAGAGAAAGACAGAAATCACAATAGTGGTAGCAATAGTAAAATATTTACCTTTTCCATCCCTTTAATAAAGTTGTCTATTTTAAAATAGGTAACATATTCCCACGGCTCGAAAACTTAAAAATATAAAAAGGTATACAGTAAAGTCTCCCTCCCACCCTGTCCCCGATCTGACCAGTTCCCATCACCACTACTACCCAACCCCCATCACAGGCACTCATTTCTTATGTATTCCTTATGTATATGCAATCAAATACAAATGTATATTTTTCCCACAAATGTAGCAATATATTTGTTTTTATTTCCTAACAGTATGTCATAGAGATCTTTCCACATCAGTACACGGAGAGCTTCTTCACTCTTTTTTTATAGCTGCATAGTATTCCATTGTTACTATATACCATCACTGATTATTTAATCAATCCCCTACTGATGAACATTCAGTTTGAAATAAACTTCCTTTATCTTCTTTATAACAAAGTATATATTCAAGGACACCTACTGTATATCCTACTGCTAACTAATCCAAAATATTGGGAATGCAGCCTCTCAAATAGAAAACTACTTAAAAAAAAATACCCTCCCACCAAGACTTCTGCCCATACTACAGAGAGGCCAATAGAGCAGCTAAAAGAAGATGATGACGGCAGCAGGGCTAGTCTGACAGCACCCATTCCAATCTCCAGAACTGAGGAGAGGAGCTGGCCCACACCCACTCTCCATTAATTGCAGGTACGTACAGCTAAGAGAAACAGCATGGTGTAACTAAAGGAGAAACACATCTCGAGTTAGGAGACCTGGGTTTGAGCCTCGGCTTCACCGTTTCCTAGCTATATGATTCTGAGCAAGTCACTTAAATTTTCTGAGCCTCAGGTTCCTCATCTGTGAAATGAATATAGTAACATTAACTCTCATAGGCTAATTGTGAGGACTACAGAAAATGAATACATGAAAATACTCTGTAAACCATAAAGTGTGATATATGATGCTAATTGTTATTTTGGGTCAGTAACAGTTAGAATAATTTAGAATTAAAAAAAATACATATATATATAAAACCTTACCAATAAGAGTCGCCAAAGAGCAATGAGGTACTGTTGGCGTGAACCTGATAATAACCAAATAGTCTTCTTCATTTATCTCCTGAACCTCCACACAACTTTCTGTTACCACTTCCAGTTCCTCTAAAGTATTGGGCTTCTCTGGGTCCCGGATAGTTCGAATCAAGTCTAAAGAATCATCAGAGACAGGTATTATGTTAAAACATGAATATTCTAAATACAGATGATTTTGCCATCCTAATGCAAAGACTGACTTCTTTTTATTTAAACAAATACTACAACAACTCTCCATATTTCTGACAGAAATTTCCACTACTGGTTTCCTTTAGAGAAAACTGTCTTCTTGGATTATTACTAGATCGTAGCCAGTTTCTTGGCTCCAACATTGCAGAGAGAATATAAGAATGGAGAAAGTGTCATAGAAGCTCATGAGGAAGAAATAACTTAGCTTGGGAGAATGTGGTATCAGGATTCACGGAAGTAGAATCTGAATCAAGCCTTTAAAAATGGGTAACATTTCAATATGTGACATTTAAGGTGAAGGAAAGTAAAGAACAAGAAGTTTAGTTTGCCTGGAACCCAGCATAAATGGAGAGGATATGAGTTTGCACCAGACCACCAAGGGTCTTTTACAGTCAGCTACAGGAAACAGGATGTCCTCAAGAGGTTTTGAACAAGGGAGTGACATGGACAGCATTACACTGTCAGCTGCTAAATCACCCACCAGCTGGTGGACGCAGAACTAAAGAGCAGAGCCAGTGATACCACCTGAAAACAGCTGGGCCTAAAACAGGCATATGATAATGGTAAGAGAGAGGAGGAGGAGGAGACAGACGAAGAAGTAATTTCAGAGGTAGAATTAACAGAATTTGACAACCTTTTGGATGTTGAAGACAAGGAAATAGAGAAAAGGAAGATGACTCAGATTTTAAGTGTAAGTGTCTGGGAGAACACTGATAGAATGAAAAAAAAAGAGAGAACACAAGAAGAAATTTGAGTGGGAGCATGGGCAAATGGGTTCAATTTTATATGTAATGATTTTGAGGTGCTTAAGGGGCAGACCAACTAAACACTGAACTGTGGCATAAGGTTTAAGAGAGCATCAGGGCTAGAGCGGTTGCAGAACCCATGGGATTCACAGAGAAGAATGCGTAGTACAGTAGTTTTCAACCTTGGCTGAACAAATGAATCACCTGGAATGCTTAAAACAAAAACAAAAACTGATGTCTGAGCCTTACCCCCAGAGATTCTGATTTAATTGATTTGTAGTATGGCCTGGGCATTGAGACTTTAAAAAATTCTTCAGGTTATTCTTATGTGCAGCCCAGTTTGAGAATCATTCATGTAAGGGGAAAGAGACTCAGGGACAGATCTGTGGGAAGTACCTAATTTAGGGATCAGAAGGAGAAAGAAAAGCAAGAAGAAACAGAGAAGGGAAGAGACGAGTGGTTACCACCACCAAATGCTACAGGAAAATTCAGGTTTAGCTCGAGCTAAAACAGGTCTTCGATTTGTCGCCCAGGAGGTCACCTGTGAGAAACCAGTTTCAGTAGAGAGGTGAAGGCAGAAGCCAGCTTGCAAAAGGGGAAGTGAGCAGGAACTGAAAATGCAGTCCTAGGGTTTTGGCAGGGAAAGGCAGTGAGTTTAGAAAAAGCTAGAACTACAAGGATGAGTGAAACTTGAGTATGTTTCATAGCCCAAGGGGAAGGATCAAATAGAGGAAGAGAGACTGAAAATTTGAGGGGAGGAGGGGAGACTGGTAAAATAAGCAGACAGGAATGAGACCAAAGATGTGGGAGCCTGGGTTGGCCTTGGAGAGGACAAGATTGCCGTCATACTCTGAGGTTGTAGAAAAAGATGGAAAAGGAGAATGATAAACAGAAATGGTGAGGTAGAAAGGAGAGAAGCAGAGAGAGTTCACATAGGATGGGCTTGATGTTCTCAAGCCTGAGGTTTTGTTCTGTTATTTATAGCAGCCCTGTAATCAGAAATGCAGCTGGGAAAAACAATGGATCAAATTCTATCCTCTCCTCGGCAACTCCTGGGATGATCACTTGATTAGAAACAGAATTTGAAAATGGAGGCAGGGTCATAAGGCAACTGTGAATTTGAAAAGAGGACAAAGCTTCCCCTTTGCAAGGCTGTGTCATCATGGGGCTCAGGGAGTTTCTGAAAAGGAATTTGCTGCCCCTCATCCTAGGCCTTTTCTCTGTAAGGCTCATTTACACAAGCTGCATTATATTCTTTATATGCTACTTAACCCTGAAATTAAATCTCACCCCTTACTAAACTCTAGTTTCTTAGTGATTTGAGAGATTTGGATTTCTTTAGAAAGAAAGCAATGTTGCTTTCCTCATATTAGCCCTCTAAAATTCTTCTATGGCTCTGCACTGATATTAAATTCTTCATTTATATGTAAACCCTCAGTATCCAATTCCAACCTGCTATCTAAAACAATTTTTGACCACACCTCCACCTTTAACCACAAACCCTATCCTGTAGCCCCCCACCTATTTGCCATTCCCTAAACATGTTATTTTCTCACCTCCACATTTTTTGTTCATTTCCTCTGCTTAGTATACCCTCTATCCTCTATGTCTAGCTCCTACGAAGTCTTCAACTCAAGCGACTCCTTCTCCTTAAAGTCTTTCCAGATGCCCCAACCAGAGATTAGCACCTCTCCTTCCTCTGAATTTCTGTATCTTGCATTCAGGTCTATGGCCTTCTACTGCATATAAAAAAAAAAAAATTATATTTTTGCATATAAGGTCCCCCTCAATATAAGTTTGAGGACAAGAATCATCCCCCTTCCAAAGCTGCATTCCCAGTGCCCTGCCGTCTCTAGATGCTGTGGATCGAGGTCTGACAGGACAGGAATGAGTCTGTTTGCTTTACTAGATCATTCCACTCATAATTATCATCTGGCTAGGGTTGATAAAATCCTGCCTCTAGCAAGAAAGAGGCAAACTAGATTAGCTCTAAAGGTCTTTTCCATCCCTGCTTCCTTCTACTGGCCTGTAATTCTCACCTGTGTTATATTCATATTCTTATGGTTAGATCTTTTACCCTCGGTCAGCAGGAATCTCTGAGACTTAAATCCAGTTTTCTGTTTCCAAAAACAATATTACATAAGTCCAAAAAAGGACTCATAAGGCAATTCTGAAGTGGTGGAAAGTGCACTAAGTTTGGAACCAAAAGACACCAGCTTTGGTTTTTGCCGCTTCCTTACTGGTAGTGAGACCTCCAGGTAGTTGTTTAATCATTCTAAACTTCCGTTTCCTCATCCGTACAATGAAGATGGTCCTAAGGGTTAGACAGAGACTATTTAACACAGATATAGAAGACTATGTGTGCGTCTGTATATTCTTTTTTGCACTCCAAGCTTGGCTCCGTTAAGGAACTACAAATGCGAGGCCAGGCTAGGAGGAGCCTATCTCGTCCGCTTCTTTCGGGAACCTCTGGCCTATTGCCTTTGCAGCAAAAGCGAGTGACTGTGACCTTGGGCCAGTCCCCAATTCGGCAGTCACCCAGCAGTGCCCTCGGCGGGGGCAAGAGGATTGCGTGTCCAGGGTCTAGGGATAGGAAGGAAGGCGGGTCAAGCAGTGCAATCAGGCCAGCTTTACTTCCTAACCAAACACTCTAGACGCCTGCTCGGCCCAGAAGTCTTGAGAAAGCCCTAAGACCTAGGGCAGACAAGGGAAATGAAGCGTTTAAGACCTCCAGGCTTGGCTTGCCCAGGTTTAGGAAGAGCCCGGGTCCTGAGAAGACCGACATTCCCGCGTAACTTAGGATCCCGAGAAAACGCTTCCCACCCTCCGGACTAGATCCAGCAAAAACCCGAGTCTCTACTCCCAGCCCTCAGGTGAGGCCCTAGTCACCCCCGCCTCCACGTGTAACGCCAAATGCTGCCCTGAGTAAAATTAATTACCATAAACCTCTAGCGCTTTCTCTTCCATGATCCGGGGCTGCCGGGCAGCTCCCCGCTCAAAGAGGCCCGAGAGCCACAGGACTCTGCTCAACGTCCAGGAGAGCGCCCCGGACACCTGTTCCATCCTCACGCTCCGCCATCCCTGGCGACTGTCCCACTCGAGCCACCGTCTCTCGGCAGCCGACCTCGCGATTTACCAACTTCCTGGTCTTCAAACCGGCCAAGACAAGACTAAACGTCCAAGGGAGCAGAGAATAGGCGGGACCGGACGGAATAGCGCGGAGGACCTAGGGAAGGGAGCCGCACGGACTACAAACCCCAGCGTGCTATGCTCGCTGTCGGCGGGACAAGAGAAAAAAATTCCTCGCGGCACGTGACGCGCATTGCGTGATGGGACGCATGGGACACTTCTTTGGAAGACGAAGAGCTGTATTCTGGGACATGTAGTCTCTGCCGGGGAGGGGGGTGGGATGTAACGGTCTGTGACCCGCCACTGGCCTCACTCAGAGCCCTGGATAAGCTACAGATGAATCCTGATGAGGTAGGGGAAAGAAGATCTCGATTTCTAGTGCTGCAGGAGCGTGTGCACCCAGGCTCTCTACTGTTATTTCTCCGAGAGAGCCGCTTCCAGCCAGTTTTCTTACTTCCTAGTCAGGCCGGAAGCGAGTTTCCGTTGCCGTGAAACGGGATGTCTTGGGAGCCCAGTAAGGATGGTTAGGCGTGGCGGCGGCCGGGGGTGGGGCTTTTTGGTTTTCTCCTCTTATAGGGACTCAAGCCTACACAACTCCTCACTACGGGCTGAATATTTCTGCCAAATCCTTCAAAGACAACTTAGAACGAGAGAGCTTTCCTTGTGTCCATTGTGTCCAGTAGTGTGTCCAATAGACATGTTGGAGATTGTCGTCCTAAAAAGAATGTTTTAAGCCTTCTGGTATTAGTGGCTGTAATGGATGCCAGTAACAAGGTTAATAATGTTAGTTTTATCCATCCATCCCTCCCATCAAATCTCAGACTTGGTCTATAGGTGCCAAAGAGCATGGTCCCTGCCCTCAAGCCCCTCACAGACCTAGGAGGAAGCCAACCCCTGATGTTGAGGAATTTGCAGTTAGAAACAAACTAAACCTTTTGTCAAAGTTAATGCCAAGTTTCATCTCATCTTTATTGAGAAGAAAGTCAGGATTATCTTGCAGAATGATCCCAAGGTAACATATCGCATTTATCTTTAAACTCGTATTTAAAGATAAAGTCTTGTCTAGCTGATTAGACTTGAGGCTCACCTGACAACCAGTGAATAGTTTAGGTCCCAAGAAAATTTTGTTTAGAGTTTAATAATTTCTCTGACATCTGTTCCACTCCATTTACTCCACAGCAGTTGATAGGATAATCCTAACTGCCTTACAACCAAAGTTAGGACACTGAAGTCTCACCTCCTCTGTGAGGCCTCCCAAGTTCTCCAAGCAGAATTGATGATCTCTTTCAGTGTGCTCCCACAGCACATTATAACCCTGAACGTGTTGAATTGTTCAATTACATGCCTGTCTCCATCAAGCGCCTAGTGGGCCAGGAGCTTCTTTATTTCTATATCTCAAACACATAGGGTGCCAGGTACACAGTAGATGCTCAATATATATTTCTTGAATGAACTAAATGTTGTTCAAAGACTAAATGGCGAAACTTGACTGCAGTCTGTTCAGAGACCTCAATCAAAAATATTTATTGAATCTCTATGAGGGCACTGTGCTTGGCATGGGTAGGTGCCATGCAGGGGTTTTCAGACTCCTTTATTCAAACGATATCTCCTTAAGAAGGCTGTTGTTAGATGGAGCTATCCAGAGCGCGAAGGGCCCTAGGAACCGGAGCAGCCTCTAGCTCCTCCTCTTCTGCCCTCTAGCCCCCTGGGTTAAGATCTTAGCGTCGCGATCCAGGGTTCGGATTTGCTGGGCAGGAGCCGCGGGCCAGGCCCGCCCCTCCCCCAGCGCCTAGGCCCCGCCCCTCCGCGCCCGACCAGCGCGTCCCGCGGGCTTGGGGGCGGCCCTCCCACTCCTCGCTCGGCTGGAACGCTTTGCTCGCGGCGCTGTCTATAAAGTTGTTGTTGCGGCTTCCGCCGCGGGTGGAGGAAGATGGCGTCGGGTGGTGGCGGTTGTAGCGCTTCAGAAAGACTCCCTCCGCCCTTCCCCGGCCTAGAGCCGGAGTCCGAGGGGGCGGCCGGAGGGTCAGAACCCGAGGCTGGGGACAGCGACACGGAGGGGGAGGATATTTTCACCGGCGCCGCGGCGGCCGTAAGTTCGCCACCCCTCGGAGAGGCCGGCGGGCGACCTAAAAGGGAAAAGAGGCAAAGCGGGGGTCAGGGAGGCTGGGCAGAGTGGCTCCGGCGAGACCTCGGGTTGGTGACGGTAGTCGTGGCTTGGGGGCCCTGGATGAGCGCCGAAACATCGGGCCTGGCTTCCCGGCCGCTGGGCGGACGGTGAGGAGTGAGGGGTGTGGTGGCTTCTCCGCCGGGGTCCCTGACAGCGACGAGCCGCCGAGGCCGGCATTTGACTCCACGGACCCACGGGGCTGTTTGGCTGGTCGTTGCATGCCCGGCTGATTTAGTAGGTCAAGATAAGAGGATGGGTGCCGGCCCGTGGCTTAGCGGGTAAGTGCGCGCGCTCTGCTGCTGGCAGCCCAGTTTGGATCCTGGTGCGCACCGACGCACCGCTTCTCCGGCAATGCTGAGGTGGCGTCCCACATACGGCAACTAGAAGGATGTGCAGCTATGACATACAACTATTTACTGGGGCTTTGGGGGAAAAAAAATAAAATAAATTAAAAAAAAAAAGATCAGCCTCTGTGATGGGGGGGTCTGATTTGTTTAAAAAAAAAAAAAAGATAAGAGGATGGGGTGCAGACTTTCCTTTCCCTCGCCTAACTGCTCCTAGGATGAATAATGTTATCTGGAGTGTCCCAGGATAGTGACCCGCCCACAAATCTTTTCGTTAGCTCCCCGCTTACCGGTGATTACCAAAGGCCTTCTCTGGATCTTAGTTTATAAGAGGTAGTTGACTCCTCTGATCTCTAGCAAAATCCTGCCAGAGGTAGGTTGAAAAAAGGCCCTGCTAGATAAATCACTACATTGACCAAAAGCTTTGTCCCTTTTAAAGGGATGTGTTCAAGTGCCAGTACCTCAGTGGGAGCAAATCTGTAAATGTGAGGAGAAAATGGTGTTTCCCACAGTAATATCCAGGTTTCTAATAAGAATTAGGTGTTGGGAAAAACTAATCTTGATATGTGGCATGTGGAAATCAGTCTAATAAGAGCTAGATATTGGGAAAAACTAACCTTCATATGTGGAATGTGGAAATCAGTAACCAGTTCTGGAACCAATGGAGATGTTTTGGGCTCTTTTAGAAGAATATTGACTCATACTAGTTGGTACAGTTCGTTCCAGGTTGAAAACTTCTTCAGTGCTACGTCTGCGAATTTATCTTTCTATCTTGGATAATGCTTCTCTTCATAGTAGCTACTCAGTATATGAGTGCCTAAAAACAGCTTTAAATTCTTTATGTAGTGTATGTCTGAAAAAGTTTGAGGCTTGTCTCATTTATGTCAGAAAAAGGTTAAATTCCTTGGAAATACCTTCTGTAACAATCATTACAAATTTCCCTGTACTATATTAAGGAATTGAGTCCATAATCCCAGCTCAAAAAGTACTTGCTGTTGCTAATATAACAGTTCAAACTGTCTAATGAAATCTCTATTATTCTGAGAAATAATAACTTTTGCTGCTAATTTTAGTCTTTATACCATTTAAAACAAATCTTTAGTCTGTTCCTTTAGTAATTCTCCCATAAGCCATGGAGAAAAGCTACTGTTGATAACTGCTAGGATGGTAGATATTCAGACTGAATATCTGAAAATAGAAACTCTTGCACAGAAAGTGATTGGTTACATAGGCAAATGATGATTTATTTTCCAAAAAGGACCCTAGAAAGGTGAGGAGTTATTTTTTAGAGTTCTCTAAAGAAGTTCAAGTTCAGTGAATTGATCTCACCAGATTACAGAAACATAAATACTTCTCTCTTGTAAGACTGTAAAAATACTTTGCCTAGAGCCAGCCCTGATGGCCTAGTGGTTAAAGTTTGGCCACTCTGCTTTGGCAGCCTAGGTTTGGTTCTGGGCATGGAACCACACCACTCATCTGTCAGTAGCCATGCTGTGGCCGCAGCTCACAGAGAAGAACTAGAAGGACTAACAACTTTACATCTAGAATAAACAACTATGTACTGGGTCTTTGGGGAGGAAAAAAAAATACTTTGCCTAATTTCCAGCTAAGAGGATGAGGAGGGGGTCAGAATGACCTTGTTCTACTACAGAAAGCATAATTATTTTTAATTTAGATTTTGATCCAGGAAAATTGAGTTGCTGAGAAAACTAAAATACCACCTGTAAGCCAATTTTTGAACTGCCTGCCCTGATGTTAATTTTCAGGAAGCCAAGACCCCAAGATTCCTCACGAGTTAGGCTGTGAATTTCTTGTTAAATAACCGTTAAATACAAACTGTATTCTAATAAACACTTTAGTTGTGAGCCAGTGTGAGAAGATAGGGGATTGCAGTGCTTCTGTCTTAAGAAACAACATTGAAGAACAAAGTAATTAGGAGCGTGAACTTTGAAGTCTGATTTAAATCCAGGCTCTATTACTTGCTAGCTTAACCTTGGGCAAGGTACTTAATTCCTCTGTATAGTTTCCTCACCTGTAAAATGTGAATAATAATAGTATTTACCCTCACCTGTAAAATGTGAATAATAATAGTATTTACCGCCACCATTATTGTGAGAATTAAATTAGAATACCTGTAAAACACTTAGAACAGTTGAGCATTTTGTAAACCAAAATTACTCTAAGAATCAAACCCACAATATCTAATAAAAAGGTAAATTAACCCTAAAAATGGTTAATATAATTTATCAAAATCAAACTAGTAAGATTGTTTTGATTAGCTAGAAGCCACTAAAGTAGGCACTTAATGACTTCAGTAGCATCTTATTGATTTAAGTTTATCTTCATATTATGTTTTGTTGCATGTTGGAGTCAAAGAGAGGAGCATTAAAGAATTAGGAAGCTAAGGCATCTAAACTCATTTATGGTATGCATGTAATTTCCTGGACATTGATGTAGCAGCTGCTGCTGTTAATCATCCCATCTGCTCTCTTTTACAGCCCAAGAGGCTTTGTTAATACAGTAATGAAAGTGTGACTTGATTTATAATTGAAAGAGCAGACCGTGGTAATGCATCTCAGAATCTACAAGGAGAGACTGGAGTTAAAAGAATTATTAAAATAAATCTGAAATCATTGCTTTAAAAGTGAAAACCAGCTTGTGGAAGGTCTGATT